AGGAATATGATTGAAAAACTAATAATATAAATGTAAGATGTTGACTGATGTATGAACTAATAGCATCTGACTTTTAGCACTGGCCTTGATTACACAGGAGATGGAGCAGCCATTACAATCCATAAAAAAAACAATTAATAAATCATTGTCAAATTTTGTAACAATTTGTTTCAAGCCCGTATTTTAGTTGATAGCCTCCACATTTGTATGGTTAAGTCATTGTTGCTGTGTTTCCTTTCTGTGACCCCAATAATTTTTCTCCCTTCATTTGCGGGTCTTTAGGATGTTGCAAAGGTTCACTCCTGTACCCCTATACAGAATCACTCTCTCTAGCTGCCTTTTCTAGCACCATTACACTTAAAAAAATAAAATGCACAAACAACAAGCAGTGACAGCGGCGACTCTTCAATCGTCCAGGATGAATTATGGCAGCATGCTAAAGAAAGGTGCATGTAAATAGCCAGATATGGTACACGGGCCAAGCTCCAGCAGACTATATTCCTTTCTGAGCATTACTTTCCATCCCCCATCCAAAATACATACATTAGAATGTAGTAAAACCTTCTAGAAACATTTCTTAGCCAACTGTAGACTTTTCTGTTGCCACACAAGTGCAAAAAAAGGGGCAGGATGTGAACCTGTATATTTTCGAAACTTCGTTTGGTGACAGAACACAAAAGGAAAAATTCCTACGTATACACATTAGGTCTGTCTCCACTTTTATAAAACTGGAATAAAATGGGAAAGTGCCATGTTTATAGTTCCTAATTGAAGTTTTAATGTCCTTTTGACACAAAAAGGTATATACATATAAGAGCTACGTAACCTTTTTTATTCCCCCCAACTGGACAAGTGTCAAACCCTGTAGATTCATAGGGCAAAACAAGATTGGTCAGGAAAGAATCGTTCCTATAATTGGTAATCTGACACTATGTCCTTTTGCCATTTAAAAAGGTCCTTTTTCAGTTTATTCAAGTTTGTCACTCTTCGTGGTTGGTTTTTTTTGTGTGTTTTTTATCTCTGATAAAAAAAATATTCAGACTTTTGTAATCTGCGTATGCTGATCTTCATCAAAAGGTTCATTCTCTGGATCAGAGTCAGTGGTGTCAGAGTATCTATAATGATCAGGTTCATTGTCACTAACATCTGGTGTTACAGAAGTTGAACTGCTAGCCTCTGGATTTGATGGCTCTTCTACTGTTTTTGTGAAAAATAGCTTCACCTGGGAAAGGAAAAAACAACATTTAAAAAGGGAATCTGGACTTCAACCAAGCACAGGTAACAATGCAATTTTTAACAGCAAGGCTCCTTTCACTACACTGAATCATACACATGCTCCTCTCTCTACTCCGGAAAGAAAGAAAGAATGAGCTCTTCTGAGGTTAGCCAGCCTCTTAAACTACCACCCATGACAAAATTAGGAACTAGAAGGCAGCAGGTTTCTCAAGCCCACCTGAAGGAGTTCTGCATATCTGCACCAAACACAGGACTCTTGAGTTACAGCAGCAGAACATACCACTGCAGTGGGCCATGCCATACTAAGCTTTTTGACCACCCCCGCCTTCTAGACCTCTGCAAGCACAGATTCCAGTAAGCGTGCACAGGAATGAACAAAATATTCTCCAACTGGTGACTTGTGTGTGCATCAGAAGTCTGATCCACACAACATTCCAACAAGCAACTATGACCATTACGGTCACATGAGAGCTGCTGAGTTCAAACTGGTATTTCATCAGCAAGTTAGAAAATGCTAAAATTCTTGAAAATGCCTTTTTAATTTTTAAAAACAGTGCTGGCAATGGCTCATATTCCTCAAAGCTCAGCTCATATGTTAAGGTATTCCCATGAAGCAAGTACTTCTGCAAATCAACTTGGGAATTATTGTGTAAAGCAGAGAGCTGCAATGCAGCTGGTACAGGAAAGGTACTACCTGGGTCTCCCACTACTAGTCTCTAACGGCTTGACTAAAAATCTGAACTGACTGGAAAACTTTACTCCCAGTGTCTCAACATCTACTGATTCTCAAAAAGCAGACAAACTTATAAAGTTAGAAGCTTTGCTAAGTGGTGGCCATACTAATATATGAATTCTTGCCTACAAAAGGCAAGACAGATAAATCAGGTAACATGCAGCTTTTCAGCTTTGTTTACACATAATATATACTGACCTTGAAGTTTGGAGAGAAATATCTGTTGGCTTTGTCTTTATTTGCTTTGTCTAGATCGTTTTTTGTTAATGTAAGGATTAAATATTCCTTATCATTATCTGAGCGCTCTGTACTGAAAATACCATCAAGTTCCTGATCTGCAACTAGACTTCCATTTTCTACTTTGTCTGAATTTTCATCCAGTCCTATGAAGAATGTATTTACCCAAAAGTGAAACATTTTGTCCTGGGGGAGGAAGAACACAAAGAACAAGCTTGCTTCAGTATACACTAATGGCACATTAATTAGACTAGTATTGTCAACTGATCAAAAACAAATCTGTAACATCAGACAAAACTTGCTCTGACAGTAATACATCACTGGTTACTCTGCATGCAAAGACATTTTCATCAGTTCTCCTAGACAGTAAACAAAACTCTGCATTAATAGAAAGTTGGTTTTAAAACACTATCATACCTATAAAAAAAGCAGATGACAATAAATTAAACAACTTAAAACTTGTAATCATAAGGCATGAAGAGATTTTTTTGCTCATCCCTTGCCAAGCAGTAGCCAAACCAAAGAGACAATGTGTGCAAACCAGCTTAGGTGAGTAGTGTTTATCGACAGAGAATATCCTCTCCCATAGCTTCCCGAGTAACAGAGCACTTTAATTTTTTTTTTAATACAGAAATAGCTGTAATTGAGCAAAACCACCCTACAAATACAGGACTCCTATCATAGTGGATTCATTACTGCTTTACAGAGATGTTTCTACCAGTAATTTGTTTGCTGGCCAGTAGTAAGAGAAAGTCAGACTCAAAGTTGTTTGCTGTACTCAATAGGAAGCTTTTAATGGGAATATGAGGCATCGGCAGTTTAAGTATAGTCAACTTAAGCAGAATGTTGCAGATGATCATCCACAGCTAGAAAGGTACAAGTTACACTACCCATTGTAACACTGCAACAGGTATACCTTTACAAAAAGGCAAAATATAAATATATCCATGATTTTAAAGAGCCACTGAACTGATATCATCCAGTGTATTACTTATTTATCGTCCTGACTAGCAGGGTTATTGTGAGCCTGTATCTCCAGATGTGCTATTGAACAAGAGTTACGTTTTACACTTGGCTAGACAACCTCTGAAGATAATATGCTCAGGAACTTTGCCTTTAAGATCTCAGCTAAATAGCTCCATATTATACACTGAATACTCTTATTTCTCCATCACTTGCCGTACTTCGTCAGTCAAGAGTTGACATTTCTAAGATCAACTACCATTAGCAGGTTGGTCCTGACTAGCACATTAAGCACTTCTCTGGCTGAAACTGAGCTACACTCACTTCCTCTTTACAAATTAACCTTTCTATTTTACTCCAATTTGAGTTTTCAGGCAGAAGATCCACAATGCAAATGACCAGTCTTCCCACAATAGCCAGTATTTCTGTGTTTCTGTTAAAGCTGCCGGGGTGACAAAGCTAGCACATAATAGAATCTAACATTCCTTGATATACAGGGCCAGAACACAAATTGACTCCTGAGCTCATTTTCGTATTTTGGTTTACCAGAGATCTAATTCCAGTTTCTTTCCCGATCTTCCTAGCTGTTCACCTCTGCTGGCAAACAGGGAGGGAAATCAGAAGTGGAATGGAAGTGATTCTAGTGTGTATCATATAAGCATGCTTTCCTACTGAAGGTAATCTGGGACCAACAGAATATCACAATATTTTCCTGGGCCCATGAGAAGTGGACAGGGAAGACCTGTACTACTGCTTAACTTATATTCTTCTTCCTCACAAATTAATAAAAACAGTTAAGTACATAAATATTGGGAATTCAGAAGTGCCTGATGAAGCTTCTATCTGCCTTCTCTACCAAAGGTCAGCAGACCCATTTTCAGTATTTTAGGTAAAGCAAACAAAACCACTTCCAGCTTGTGTGCATTTCTATAAGCTCCTATGAGACCAGCAGTCTGTAAGGTAGTGCAACAGCAAAGACAGAAGTCAATTCAGTCAGAAACACTTCTGATAGTTAAGAAGTTACCTGCTTCAACAAATGCCTCTCCAGTACCTTTGGGAATTGAGTTAATCTACCAAATTAACATGCTGTAATTACAGTTGTCTTGAGAGACTAACAGGTGTTTGCCACTGTCACCAAGTGCCTTCAAGCCATCACATCTATGAAGAAGCCTTTTTGGACCCCATCCATGCAAGGCAGCATTCAGGAGGTTCTCGCCAGGCACAAACTGCTTATACACTTAGCAACCTCTTTTTCCACAAGCAGTTGCTCAGAAACAGTGTTAAGAGTGCCCACCCCAGGATCAGGAAGTAGAGGATGAACATCCAGGGCAAGAGAGTTTATTCTTCTGTAATGCTCCTATGAGTCATCAGTCAGCCTGCTGCTATCTCATGAGGAAGGTGGCACCAGGCCACACAAAGACATCTACAAGCTAACCTGGTTCAGGCTCATCCTATGCCCAGATGACAAGTCCCTCAAAAAATATGTAGTCCTCCAAGGAGATAAGATGGCTACTCCTGCTCAAATCAAAAGACCAGTTCAAGTCAAAACAGAAACAACTAATGGCATCAGTTTTCCAGCTACAGAACAGGAGTCACGTGGACTCCAGGTGCCAGCCATCTACAATAAACAGCAGGAAAATGCAAGAGTGAGCTGATGCTTCCAGCACCCAACAGCTCTGCAAGCAGGTGGATGTATCACCTGCAGTCTCACTACTACTGTTGAAGAGGCATCATCCTTCCAGTGAGGCTTTAGAGAAGAAAGTGCATTTCCACATCAAGACCACAGTTAAGGGAGATTTCGCCTCTCTGTAGCTGGAATGATAGTACTACTATGTTTGATCCTTCTTCAGGACAATGCAGAAGCAGCAATGCCCTTTGATGCTGGTTCTCAGTGCCACCCTGACACCTCCAGTGAGGGCAGCAGAGGAGAGAACAAAGCTGATGAACATGCTGCAGCAGAGGGATGGAAAATGGCTTATACCAGTAGTGCTGAAGCAGCTTCAGAGGATAGCAGTGCCAAAGCAAACAAGGCCACTGCATGTAAACCACTGCCAGCAGAAGCAGAAGGCACGGTCTTCTCACCTTAAACTTCATCAGGTAGAACAGAACCAGGAAGATTTTCTTGGCATTTAAGGGCCTGTCTGAACAAGCAACTGCAGGGACTCTGCTTTACTGATAAATTCTGGAGAAGACAAGACAGAAGACTTCTCACTAAACATCTTTCAATTTATTTTGCTTGCGATAAATTTGCAGAGGTCTTCAGGGACTCAAACTAAACAATACAACTTGGCTGAGCTGGTCATTTATCCTTTTATCTCCCTCCAGCTTTTCAAAGCACCAAGTTATTTTTCTTCCCTTCCCACTACATTAACCTAATTAGTCTAATAAACTAAGTTCATGGGTACTGGAACGTGGCATGGCCATGCAAATTGAGGAAAGACTTTTAGGAATTAGCTCTTAAGAATAACTGTCACTGCTTTCACTGAAAAACAAGCCTCAAAGTGAGGATTCAGCCACCTTCAGCTAAAGCGTCAGGCTCTGAAGATACTTCATGGGAGACAACAACACTGATGTAACATGGGCCAAAGAAATTTTAAAGATCAAGGCACAAACTGAATTTTGGACTTTATACAGCAAATCAGAATACCAGACCAAGCGCTCACAAGGAACACAGTTTAATGAATAGGCTTCTGAAAATTACTATTAGCTAGAAGCTTTTTTTGAATGTGTTATGCTTCAATTCCAGTTACATCACAGGCATCTGCCTTAAAGAAAAAATTGAACAAAAAACAAAACAAAACGCAGATGTGCCATGAAATCCACAGTGCAGTATCAGACACTTGAGACAAGCCAGTTTAATCACACTATTTTGATATACAATACCTATGCCTACGTTGTGCAGTTTTTCAGCTCAGACTGACAGAAAAATATACCTCACTCTAGAGCCAACACCTGCCTCTAAGTGCAGACTGAGATCCAAATCCAAGATCATTTAAGCCATCAGGTAGGAGTTCCCATAACCTCCTTAGAGTTTAATTTTGCAGACAGATCTACAGGCACGTCTTGTACCATTTTCAGATTAACGGTTAAAGTTTACTGACATTTTCAGAGTTCACTCTTCAGTGTTTGCTAAAGAACAATAGCCCAAAGTCCTCTTGAACTATATAGCAGAACTTCTCATTTATACAGACCCAAGAGATGAAATGGCATACCCAACAGCTCAAACAATGCTGTCAACCCTGCCTATGCTATAGTCTGGATACAGCGACTCTTACAAAAAAAAAAAAAAACCACCAAAACCCAAACCCACACCAACATTTCCCTCTCTACATACTGGGAGGACGCCTGAGAAAGGTCTCCTTCACCCCCAGGCCCTGCAGGCAGAAAGATTACAATATCTTCTGTATTATTTTTAAACAGAGTCTCATTGAACCAAGTGATATAAAGGTATGTGGAATACTTTAAGATTGTCATGTCAACATCAATAACTGAAAGAAAAAGATTTCACACAGCTACATTGAAGCAAACCTTGAGAGAAGACAGCAGCAGTCTGAGATGGAAGAATAGGCAAGCTGCAAGTCAGAGAAACAGAACACCATGGTCAATCTCCCCCCCCCCCCCTCTGGCCAACCCCCCCCCCCCCCCTTACTAACTTCTACCCATCAGAAATTCACACATAATAAATGTACTCAAGCCTTAAGCCATTTTGTTCTCATATGAGCATGCATTTCATTCTTGAAAGGAAGTAGCTACATCATACTGAGGAAATGGTCAAAGAATAAGTAAGCAACTTTATTAGACAAGAAAAGATCAAGTTGTGGACTTGCTAAGTGATGTCAAGTAGCACAAATTATGGAAGAACTGAAATATGGTAGCGTTTTCAAGGCAGTCAACCCTGTTACCAACATCATCTCACCAGCACCAACAATCCTTTGGCTGACGCCAGCTCTTGCTAGCCACTGAATTTACTTAAATTTTGCCATTAAAAAAACCCAGGACACTTCACTGCTTTGACTTTCACACTGACACTGAACACCAGGTGCTTAAAGTCACTTGGTCATTCAAGTTTGGTTTGTTTCATGCAAAATAATTCTATCCAAGAGCAGCTCAAATTTGACGAGGACCCTTCATACTAGACAGCTCTGCAGATAACCTACTGTTCTTCAATGGATTAGAAATCTGAAATCAAGTAAAGGTGAGCAAACCTGGAGCACTTCAGCTGAGATCAGTAGCATCAAACACCAAACCAGACTCAGCAAGAGGACACAAAAGTTTCCTTTAACCCCACAGAGGAGACATTGCCATTTTCCAGCCTGAATGACCCAGAATGGATTGGGAATTACACTTTTAATTAAATACTAGTGTTATCATTGCATTTCTTATGGAAAGTTAAATGTGGTGCCTTTAAGTGCACACAAGAAAACTTGTTCAGCAGCTAGCAATAAACCTGCTAACAGAAAACCTTGGAAGAACAAGAACTAGTGATAGGCAACAGCTGTCCAGCTTTCATAAATGTGTGAATGAATCAGAATCTCTGAAAGATAAGATCCTGTTCCTCCTAATTATACTGCTTCTTATTAATTAGGTGATCACTGCATAGAGCTGATGTTCTCCAAAATGAGACAAGTTTCAACAGTGGAAGACCCTCTTTTGGGGTTTTGAGTAAAAACTATGTAGTCAGCTTATCTAATAAAGGAACATGCACAGATGCGGGACTCTTGTACAGAGAAATGTGTTCCAACTTTGTGCCAAGATAGGTTTTCTGCCACAAATATTCACCCTTGCCCTATTCCCATCTCAGTCACTTTACTTAACAAGTTGTCAAAGGGAACGTGGAAGAATCTCCTGTAGTGCCAAAGCACTAGAATATTTCACTAATTCTCAGTGTGAAGACCTCAGCAGTGGCTTCATAAAACAGACTGATGTGCTTACACCCGAGAAGATCCACTGATCCCATCCCAGATGCCCTCAATTTGTGTCTGCATTTACAGCAGTGCTAAAAGAGGTGGGCTTACCAGAACTGTGTAACATCATATACCTACTTTCTTTTGGCCTCCATTCTTACACAAGGTTAATGGCAATAGACACCAGATTCAAGAGATCTTTGAAGCACGTTATGAAGGAGGTTTCTTTACAAAATACTTCTGTCTGGTGAAAGGACAGTTTCTATCTCTCAGAAAAGCTTGCAGATGTAGAAGGAAGAACTTTCACCATCTCAGCATTTCTTGGCCCTAGCAGTCCAAAAACACTGAGAAGAGGAACACCTATGCACTATCTGTAATTCACAGAACCTGAATAGTTAGGGTATGATAAAAGTAGACCAAAAAAAAAAATCAACTAGCTATTCAAACTACAAAGAGATTCTTAAGAAATGAAACCACAGCTGGTATGACACTCTGAAATGAAAGTACATCATAGTGGAACACTTCCTTTGTTTCTGCAGACCATTTTACACTCTTGAAGTCTGTATTTATACTACAGAAATTGTATGTGATAACAAGAAGCTCTAGTTTCTGCTGACACTGGATCTCAGTGCTCTATAAAGGTAAAACAAAAACAGAATTCCATTCCTGGTGCTACAGGGTGGTCCAGCATCTGAGCTGCGCACTGGTATTTTGGGGCTTACTTGGGGAGGGGCAGTGCAGCACAATGCTTCCTATGAAGTCTGTTTGCAATCCATCTGTAACTGAAGATGGTAAAGAAACAACAAATTCACAGTTAAGATAGGACAGAGAGTGGATAAAACAGGACATTGTGTCAGATGTTTGGGTTCTGTTTCCTCTCCTGCCTGCTTCCCTTACGTCTTATCTGAGTGCTCATTTTAAAGTACTTGTAACTGTGCTCATTTTAAAGTCTGTTCTCAAAACTGGCTCCTGTGCACTGCAGTTTTACACGTCAGTAATTTTTATGTTGGCTTAAAGAATTTCTACTTTTAGAACACTTTGGTTTACAGTTATCTGTTGCATACTGCTGCCCTGACCAACTAAAACATCCTGTTAAGCATTCAGAATAAAATATTCCCATTAAAAAACCATTTAAAAACTTCTGCACACATCAGTGCACAAATAGAACACAACATTCCCAGCTAGTGAAATTACACCATTAAACTAGCTAACAATACCTCCCAACTGAACAAGCCCACAAAAAACTGTGTAAGTGTATTTACACACACATCTAGCAGGTACAACCTACGTGCAGAGTAGAGTTATAAGGGACTTCTCATCACTTACGTCTGTCTTCCAATCCGCTCTATTTTCTTATTCTTATGTTTTGGCTATACACAAGATTCACTCAATGAATACTCTTATGTTTTATAACATCCATTAAATAGTGAACAACTATTCATAAAAAATTTTAAGTAGCAAATACAAAGGTAGTCTTTAATCAACATGGTCTCAATCACACCTTTCACTTTGGTAGATGCAAACTAGCTCCACAAGCATCAGAATTAATGAAACCCTGGTATGAGGCACTCATCTTTAAGAACTTGCTGACTTTGGTGTCAAAATAAGTTCTAGATTCCTCCCCCCCCCCCAATTAAGCCACAAAAGATTTCTATGTCCCCCCCCCCCCCCCCCAATTAAGACACTGGTAAAATTCTCAGCTCCGAGTGAATTATCTGAAAGTTTACTGTCAAGACATTGCAGCTGGGAATTGCAAAACGGTTGGCTAGATTGCAGAGATACTTCTACAAAGTGTGGTGGAACTCCATCTCAGAAATTCAACCAAATTTGACAGCTGGGTAGAAATCAGCCAACAGCACAGAGACAGGATCTTCTGTGCCTGCTCAAACTTCAGGAAAATGTAGTCAAGAAAACAGCTGGAGTTAACTTGCTCAGTATGCAAGTCTATTTTTAGAATGAGAATGTTTCTTCTTCAATTAGATTACTCACTACTACCCAAACGACTGCAATACATATCCATTGTAATTTTTACCCAACCTTTGTACTTAATCTCAGTGATTCTCAAAATATCTATCTTTGATTTTGTAGCAGTTTCTCTCCTTGGGAAAACTAGACATCAAAGAATAATACTATGATTACACATCACTGAAGAATAACCAACATCCCAGTTCCGCATCAGGATTGGCTCAAAAGCATTTTCCAGAAAAGCAAGAAAACCAACCTTTTTCAACATCTTGTTCTGTTTGTGGAAAAATTCCACTTTGATGTCACCGCACACCGGCAAAGGTTGAGGGAATTCAAAGTACATAAACTTGTCTTCACGTCTTGAGGGTCCTGAAGGGGAGGTGAATATCTTTACCTTTAGCTGGTACACCACAAACTGAGGATCTGCATGGTAAAACAGAGTGCCGCTTTGTAAGAAACACCTTAAAGTGTCAAAAAGTACAATATTAGTATCATAATCACAATCATGAGCTACATTATTCTGAAAGAAATATCTATTAAGAGTTAAGCATGGCAGGGCATCAAACTTTGCTAGATGTTACCGGAAACAACCTAACAGATTTCTGTCCTTAGCAGCAATACTCTCAGGCATCCAAAGGGGGCCTAGTAAGTTGTTGTTTCTTTTCAATATAAGGAATGACTAAACGAAGCAACAACTTCTTGACTTTTACTTGCATCATCTCTATTATATGAATGTAATTGAGGGGGTTTATTCTCTCTTGCCTCTTCGAATTGCAGAGTAGGCAGTCATGTCAACAAAAATGATTTCTCTTACACAAACCAAACTGTTATACAAACAAGAACAAAAATTTAACATTAGTACACAAACCAACCAGCACCTACAGCCTATACAGACACAGACCCTAAGTCTGTCCTGTAAATCATAACCAAGAGTGCCAGCTAGGGCATAACTTTCCAAATTAAATCTGTAGGGGTAACAGCTGAAATTATGAAGGTTTTTGGGTGCATCTTAGGCAGATTTTCTTTGGAAACCAACAGACACCAGCATGAAAGCCACAAATATCAAATGAAAAATTTGAAGAAGTCTTTCTGCCTTTGCTCCTGATTTCTCTGTATCAGATGCAGACTGCTCTAGACAACACATACTGAACCATACCCCAATATAGAGTGTGTAGCCAACCTGAAACCTATCCTGCAGAGCAGCAGAAGTCCCTACCAAGCATACCCACACTATCTTGTTGAACAGCCTAGCTATGAAAATGCTACTTATCTCCCCAAATCCTCAAAGCTGTGAAACCCTGTCATCCCTTTATTTTGCAGAAAAGGCACAACTCTGCTTGGTCAGTGACTTTAAAACAGAAGGAAGATAACAAGGAAGTCAGATTTAAAGTTATCGTGGGTTGATAAACCAAGCAGTAGATAGCACTAAAGAAATAACAGACCATTGGTTTCACATTGTGAAAAATCACTGAACTCCACAGAAATGTACAATATTGCAGCACAAAAGATGCTCAAGTTGATAGTTTATCTTCTCAGGTGCTTAGCAAATTTTTTGTTTATCCTAACATCGTACTGTGAAAATAAGAGTGCTAACAGTCTGGTACAGACAAACAAGTTAATGCTCATGTGAGCAATTCATACTTGGTAGCTTGATTTCGCAAGTACATCAGTTTATCCAAAACATTAAATAAGTGGTAATTCCAGAAATCTGTAACCTCCACATCACTACCCTAAACGAAGAGGTTTTTCAGCAGAGGCTCCTCCCTTCCTCCTCCTGTAAACACAGCTAGCCTGACAAGTTGCTTGATTGTTTCTTACATGTGTTATGTGTTCAGGCACTGTCTTACAATATTAATAGTGCAATTTTAATCAAAGCCACAGGAGGCACTGGAATTAATTACACATTGCAGTAATCCCTGTAGCAAAACCATTAGAAAGACTTTTTCCACTAACAAAAAAACGAGCACGCAACACTAGGCAGTTACTCTCCTGTAATGCAGCTGCAGAAGGACAGAAGAGAAGCTGTTCTTGTACTTCAAAGTATCTGCTGTTCCTTACTAACACACTTCTGTATCAGCAAACCTCATTAGTCCTTTAGAGGTGTATTAATACATTATAAACCTCCATCTAAAGAAAAGTTTAATCCAGAGCTAATTACATGCTTATCCTGTTAAACTGATTTTTTTTTTCTTTAAACATCATGGGAAGAATGGCATTGCTACATTTGAAGCAAACACACCATTAAGCAAATGTTTTTCAGCAATTTATGTTCCCTATGTAACTTGCTATATTAGAAAAAAACACGTGCTTTATATAAAAAGTATGGCACAAATTTCCAAATATATATATATGGCATCACTTATCTTCAAACTGTTGAATATTTCCCAATTTAAAACTGTAGTGAAACAACCATATGAGTCCATCACAGACCTCAACTTACTACACCTGGGAGGATGCTAGCAGATAGACCACACTAACCCAGCAGATTCTGGAATGTGATGTTACTAAGCATCATCTTCTCCATCAAGATATGCAGCTCTTCATGTCATGTAACAGAATGGTAACCGTCACACAATCAAACCAAGTTCAAAGGCCAGTGTGTTTCCTTACAAGAGCTAATGGAGGTTAATGGACTGCTGGGTACTTACTGCAAGTTCCGCTGCTGAACATGGGAATTGTTTCAAACATCATCTTGTGAAACAGCAGTGCCACTGGTCTGTAATCCAGGTGATTCTTTAACAGGTAGCTATAGTAGTACACGTAGCGTCTCTGACTGGGAATTGTCACTCCCTAAACCAAGAGAAAACATGTATCAAAAACTATAAAGACCATTTATTAGCATCACCTGGAATAAACCACATGACCTATGCTGAGTATACCTCTGCAGCAGATACACTGGAGACTGGCACAGAGTAAAGCACCTAAGCATCAAGGTACAGCAGCTGGCTGTACGTTATCAGGGGAATGCTGCACTGCTTTCTATGCTGCACAAAAACCCAGCCATACAGGTTTTTAGCACTGTAACACATGACAACTCTCAGCCATTTCTTCACTGTGGACATCTTGAGCACCCTAAGGACTAGCAAAGACATAAGCCATCTCCAAACCATTCCCAAAACCAGCCTCTCCACATATTCTCCTTTTCCCCAGACATGTGTCCACATCTTTCGTACTTGTCCTGCAGAGAATTTAAGAGGAAGCTGTTTGCACACATTATCTAACACCGGGAAATTAATTACCAATCAATTCCCAGCACAGAACAAGCAGGACACTGGTTTTCCAGTTACTTTAGTACAAATCTCTAAATATCCATCATCTCAAGCAATGAGACAAAGAATGAAGATTTTTTCCTGTATCTTAAAAGCCAAATACCTCAGACACCCTGAGGGTCATGTAAAAGATGGCATCATGAGGGTACTCTTTTATGGGGTGGGAGAGTGTCATACATTAAGCAGGAGGTGCCTTGAACATACTCTTATTTTTTAAGCACCAATACAGAAATTACATTTCCACAGCAGTTTAAGTCAAAAGATTCTAATTTTATTTGCTAATATCCCAGTACTCAAGACTGATGCTACCGTCTATTACAAAATACCCTTCTGTATTTTTATGTTTATACAAAAGCCAGAAGCTTCATTAATAAAGGCCCAATAGCCCAAACTGTTAAATGAAGGACTTTTCAGTTGAATCACAACTCTGAAGTAAACACTCCAAGAACATACAACCAAAGATGTTTTTTATTACTGATTTTAAACCAACTTGAACTTCAAGGGAATAGTTTTAAAGCTCTTATAGCTATTATCTTCAAGCAAAAGGTGATAAAGATGAAAAATAATTTCCTAGAAAATGCATTATATAGTTTCTAACAACCCCTACTATATACTTGCAACAGCATCAGTAAGTAACTTTGATATTAAAGCTAAATGTGAAATTACAATAAAATGGAGATAAAAAAATGTTTTCATGTACAAGTCAATGAACACTTTGCCCACAAAACCTAGAACACAGTATTTCTATAAACCATTAGCCCTAATACCTTCACCTTACAACAGCCATGAGCTAAGAGTGGCCAGAGTACTTCTAATTTAGTAAGCACCTATTCTGCAAACATGAAAATACTCACTTCCTCCCATTATTTAAAAAAAAAAAAAAAAAAAAAAAAAAGGAAAAACAAAAGGTTGATAATTATGTCTCCTTACCACTTCAGTTGTTACACATAACTTTTCCCTGCAGTACTTGTATAATGATGACCTTCTGAAGTACCTTCTACACTGATCATGTTTTTAGTTCAGGTGTCATCTCAGAAGTTGTCAGACACACTTCTTAAGGGAGCTTTAAAGACTGCTCTACTGGGATCTGAGCTTCATGACTCAAAATCCCATCCTCAGAGCAAGCCATCAGTAATTTGCTAATGCTGCCAATCAGAAGAAAACCTTGCACGTAAGGAAATGCATCCTTCCCTGTTCATAGCTTCTTCATGCCATGAAGGATGTACCCCACAGAGAAACCCCAGCATGCCTTATCAGAACAACTAGGGCTGGGACCACAGAATGAAGGGAATAGAGTCACTTTTGCAGCTTATAAAGCGATAGTCAATCTCAAAGCAAAACCAGTTCTCAGCCAAGAGGGCATTTTTATCTCTCCAGCCAGAGATTTTTTACTCCCTGGAGACACAGCCTTTACCCTGACATCCTAAAGAATCAGCCACACTGAAGCAGAACAGAAAGTTCTCCATTTTTCAAAGTTCTGATTTCGCAGCAGAATACTTTCGTAACAAGCTAATATTCCATGAGGTGAAATCAACCCCTGCTTACTTTTACTCAAGAATAAAAGAACAGGGAAGCAGTTTTAAGTATTTTACTTTGTCTTTGAGAAGCTTATACTTCCCATCTATCACTATCTTAATTTTTTAAATGGACATAAGACAAGCTTCTCTATCCCTACGCCAGATATACAGAGGGCACTGCCAAGCTGTGTAGACATCACAAAAATTGTGAGGTGCAGCTCAAGCACTTGAATAGCTGTTCCCAGCTGACACCTATCCACTGAATAGACTACACTTCCAAGTCTAATCCTCACCATAAAAACCTTCAAAGCAGAAGCAGGAATAAAAGACCTTCTCCAGCTGTAGGAAGGTAAGTTATCTGTCTTCATCATCACACTAGTATTTCAGTACCCATCTTAAGGAAAAAACAGGTGATAAGCTGACCATTTCAAACAGTGGAAGCAGCAGCTTCCTTAGGAGACTTTTTTTGGGGGGTTTATTTCTCCCCCAGCTCTGAAAACAGGCTGGACAATTACAGTTCTTTATCGAATTTCAGAAACACTTGTCTCCCTTGGTTCAAAGGGAAAACAGAAATCAGTCCTGTTCAGTCACCACCACTGTGGCAAATATTTAGCCAACACTCTCATCTTTATCATTTGCTGCTTCAGAAAAACTTCTCCCTACTATGGCGAGTTATGTAAGTCAAAAGAGGCAACTTATAGAGAAGAACAAAACCAAACCTCCAACAGTTTTTGGTCAGAGACATACTTTTAGACTCAGTTCTGCAATGTCTTATTCCCCACGACCTTTCCCAGGATGACAGTACACCAGACTATATTGTAATTATCAGCCTCATCTACAACAACTCTCACTTAATGTTGCACAGGCCTCCATGAAGTTTCTGCTCCCAGCAGACACTTGGGAAAAGTAGTTTGCTACAGAAGTACTCAAGGTTGTTCTCTTGACCAATTAGTCATACTTCCTTTTGAAATAAGACTCACACTTCCTGCCAGCATGGTATAAACCTTCTCAAGAATCACTCTGCCATGCACTTTAATGGCAACAGTGATTTTAGCTATACTATTCTGAGTAGCTATAAAGAAAGTGCACACCTTGTGCTCACTTGAAAGAAAATCTGGTATCTAATTAAAATCAATTTTCCATCATCATACATATTTATTCTGGTCCAACAATGACAACACCAAAAAAGGCAGTTTCTTGTCCCTAGGTGCAAACGGTTCTTTTGATGCTTCATTTACTTTGAATTCAGGAAGTCAGTTATACACAAGTGTGGTGAAGTATCAAATCAGAGAGCAGCACTTGACAATGTCAACACTGAAATATGGGCTATAAGGGAAGAAAAAGCTTCAATAACCTGCACTGGAATACCTGGATATAAAACCACTATAAGGATTATGTGAATCACGTGCAGCCCAGTGTCCACATAAAGATAATCATGCTTAAGTGGAGTTGAATCAAAAAAAGAAAAAAAAAAAAGAAAAAAAAAAACCAAACCCAACACTCCCCCCCAAAAAAACACCCCGAAAAAACCCCACCATCAAAAAACTATTCCAGTAGAGACATCAAAACCAAAACAAAGTTGCTGGTTACAGACAATATTTACAGTGAAGCTAAACAAGGCTCTCACTATTCCTGTTTACTAAGTTCTCTGTTACCTCAAACATGCCAGGGTACTGATGAACACCTAAAATGACCTTACACTTAACATACTGATGTGCAAAAATACAAAAAGGATGCTGAGGTACAGCATGCTTCACCATGTATTTGTTATGTAGCTTTCATGGTATTTTATCCAGCTTTTTAGATAATTTTTATCAGAAGGAGTAACCTAATCTGTTTACTCATCACACAGCTCATTCCTATTCACTACCATGCACTCTTATGAAAAGCCACAAAGTTTTGATAGGAAAACTTGACAGTGTCTCTGCTCTAGTATTACGCTACAACTATCTCCTCAACTGTACATGGAACAACCTTATCTTGTAAACAGAGCAAACTAAGAAGTTATTTGCTCCTTCCAACGAATTAACAGCAAAGTCCTAGAATTCTTTATGTGACACTTCTGCTCTTAAGAGCCTTCAAACATGAAGCTCTGCTTATTAGAAGTCTATGCACTGTGAATTTAATATTTCATGCAAATATTACAGGAACACAGAGAGCTCTATACTTGAGACTTGGAACTTCAGGCTGGAACTGGTCTGCTGGGATGATCCCCCTGGGCTGCTCTACCAATATACACAAAGAAACAACGGAAGATGAGCAGGCAAGCTTGTTGAAGTCCTGTTGTAGTGACCTTGCAAGTTACATCTTGTTATATTTGGATAAGATTTCAAATAAGGAGGGTAAATTCCTATTAATGAGGCATAACTATGCCAGTAAGGTCTAACATAAACCTACTGCAAAGCCTGTCTGTACCACTGACAAGATCTTAACAGAAATCCCTTGTAGCCATGAACATCATTTCTCTGAAATGAGATCCTACCATTTCTTCTCAAAAGAAGTAGAAGAAACTGAACTGTAGCACCTCATGAAGCAGGCTCTGAGGCAGCAAATGTCAGGGCTTAACTACCCTTTTACTGAAAAGGGGCATCTAACAATGGACTCTTCCCAGAAGGAATAGTCAACTGTAACATGCACTGTAATGGCCACACATCTCCAAATATCACCACAGAAGCTAAGAGAACCTGAGGAGATGAACAACTCATCCATTCAGGCAAAACAAGCTAGAATAATCCTCTTATTTGGGCTGAAAATGCTGAACAAAACAGTACACTCATCAACCGCCCATTTGATGCAACGCACAGCAGAATGCTATTTTAAAAGCTATTTAAAATAAACTGCCTAGATCTTCTTGAACGGGAGACGGAAAAAACAGACAGGTTTAGTGTTGTGACCAATTCCTACTGCTACTTAAAAGCTATCTCATTTAGAAGAGCTGTACTGATTCAATAATGTTAAAACTGAATCAAACCAGGTATCACAACTGATGGAAAGTATTTCTTAAAGAGCCCTTTATGACTATTCAAACTGACCTCAAGAAGGAAAAGCAATTAAGATACAAGTAGGAGAATAGAAAAAAGCTCACCTTCTTGTCTCTGGTCCTTACTTCCCCATAGAAATCTAGGGCTTCTTGAGCCTTTAAAAACTTGCCTCGATGCAACAAATATGCACATATCATTACACCAGTTCGTCCCTTTCCAGCTTTACAGTGGATTGCTGCAACATGATTGTCATCTTCACTTAGCCACTGGTCGAGATCTTCACAAAAAGGTTTGATAAGCTCTAGCTGTGGTGGGTTATGGTCTTCAAAAGGGTACTGTGCAACTGCAACGAGAAGAAGTAATTCATCAAAATCTCGAAAGGAAATTACAGCAAGATCAGGTCAACTTTGTGACAAGCAAAATAACTTTCTAAATAAACCCTCATCCTACATATGGATATGTTGGTTTGGTTTTTTTTGTTATTTCAATATAATTCAGCAATGTACTGCATATTACATGCATTGCAGACATTTCTCTAGTAATGCATAAACAAGCATCCTGATACCTGAAGAGACTTCCACACCACTTCTGAAATGAGTCGCACAGATTGTATCTTACATCACAAATTTTCTAGATTTGAGTGCATTGGCACAAAGATTAACCTTATGAAAACCCATTACTCTAGCAATAATTAATCTAACTGCTGAGAGAAAACAGGGCCAGACCTCAATCACTGATCAGACAGTAGGAATTTTGCTGAAAAATTCTAAGCACAGTTGGGTCTACATTGGGAACAAACTGTCAGAATTTGCTCAAAGGTGTTTTGAAACAAAACCCTGCAATTTCCATACTAAAAAAAAATGACAATAAAAACGTCATATAAGGCACTTGCAGTACTTATGAGTTTTAAAGTCAAGTCACTGAATGAAGCTGTCCTTTTTCTCATATGAATACATACATGTACACAAACATTTTTTCCATCTAGAGATGGAAAGAATTTCAAATGACCATGCAGGAAATTAAAGAAAACCCGAGAGGGCAAAAATAAGCAATAAGCAGAGACAAGCACCCGAACCTCCAACACCTTAGGTAAGATGACAGGCAATGCTCTGTTGACTAGTAGAATTACACAGGGCTGTAGTAGTTTTGTCAGAAGAACAGCACTTTATAAAGTGCACCCCAGTTCTTGTTCGACAGGCGTCGGATCTTACAAATACAACTCTGGTCCACTTAAAAATTCTCAGCTAGAAACTCCATTTCCTTTTCTGGTCTAAAACCGAATGCATTTCATTTTTTGGCAAGTGTTTGTATTCATTTCGTAAGTACTACTCTCTTGTCACACACGCAAAGCTCCTTTTGATGAATCCCCAAGGATTTAAAGAGCAGAAGTTGAGGGATGAAGTTATGGAACTGCTAAATTACCGCAGCACAAGTCTGGAGCCTTTCGGAGGGATCTGCAAAGACAGTTTATTCACTCTCAGTACAGGCCGCCCACTTACTCTCCCAGAAAACCAAATAAGGAAGCCCAATAAAATGAACAATCTTTGCTAAAGAAGCAGCAAAGGTTAATGAACATACGCTATAAATTCTTCCACATGGAAGATCCAGAGATTCCCCAAAAGATCATTTTATGTGAACTTATAGAGATATCACTTTTTGCAGCAGATATAGATAAAAGGAGAAATTTATTTAGAAACCCCTAAGAAAAAAAAGCTGCTCAGAGATGCTGTGAATTTGTCCATACAACTTTGCATCTACCCTAACTACATCCAGTAAGGTTCCAGTGAAAAGGAAAGACAAAGCAGTCCTGGAAGAACAGCCTGAAAAATCTGAAGTAGTAGCAGCAGCATGCTCCATTTGTTCTCCAAGATTTGGGATCAAAGGCAAACCCTGTGGTATTTTCTGCAAAGATGGAATAGGAGCAGGTGAAATGGGTATGGGAGCCCTGTGATAGTACAGAGGGACTGGGAGTCAGAAAGCAACCTTAGGAAACAAAGCTATACGATCTTGAGCAGGTCCTCTAGAGCATGCAGATCCTCCATGGATTTTGGTTCCTAAACACTGAAGCACAAAAACGAGAAATAAAAACACCCCAAAAAACCAAAACAGAAAACAAACAAACAAAAAAACAAAAAAGAAGGAAAGCCTTTGGCAAAGCAGAAGGCAATCTCCAGCATGGACGTACTTCAGAAACTGCAAAAACCCTAGACAAAAAGCTTGCGTCTGAAGAAGATGAAGAGCTTTCAATGTTTGTTTTTGAATTTAATGCAAGAGCATCTAAGCTGAATAATAAACTACTACAGTGTCTCATGCTAAGTGTACAAATGAGAAGTTCCCTTTGAAATTAACTCACTTCAGAAAATTTTAGAGTAGAACTGTTATTAATGCTCCCTTAACAGTCCTGAGTCACCAATTTGGTTATCTAAGGCAACTAATTCAGGAATGAAAAGAAAAACTGCAGCATGTAGCTCCCTACAACAGCACTGTCTTCTGCAGAGGAGCTGTGAAAGGTGCCATCACAAACAACATTTTGGGCTGAGAATGACAGTGAAGAGATCTCAGCACCCCCGTAAAAAAAAACAAACCCACAAAAATTAAAGCAAGCATATGTTCTGGACATATTAGAAGCGCAACCTTTTCATTTATGCCTTTTCTCCTCTTACTCAAAGTATTGCTCAAGCAGATCTTAAAATACTTTTTCTTTCTGGCTCGTATGTATTGAGTGAGGTTTCAGGACACTGTCATTCAACATTTTAAGAGCAAACCAGAAGCCAAGATGACTGCGAGATGACAATTTTAGTCCTTCTATATTCAGACATTAAAGCAGCCAATTACATTTTGGCCATGTTCTAAACACCCTCTTTACAACTAGAAGGATGGTCTAAAATAAATAAATAAAGGATAATAATAATAAAGAAATTGAGCCCTTGCTAGGATCTAGCATTAGCCAGTTACGAAACTGGCTAATACTAGCCAAAATTCATTCAACTTCTACAATTACATACACACAAGTACTCCTTATCTGCCATTCTGAAGCACTGCATGAAGAGAAACTACAAGCTCTACTACTGTACAGAGAGATATTCCTCTGCACAAAGAATAAAGGTCAATCTGAATTTATTTATTTACCTGTGGAGTTAATACTGACAAAACAGGTACACTCACAAAACAGATGATCAAACGAGGTGATCAAAAGAAGCCCCTAAAAGTTTCCCCACTGGTTCTGGTAGCTTTGCAAAGTGTCTAAGAACCAACTCATCTCAAAGAGGCATCACATTTTTAAGCAACTGAAGGTTTGTTCCAGATCTTCAAGAAGTTGTTTTATATGAATAGTGACAGGGGCTTAAGTGTTCTCCATTTTATCCTAACTGATGCTTCTGCATAAAACCCAGACTACCCTAAGCGTCACATCTAAATTTCACAATAAGTTTGCACACTGAATTGAACAGAATTGATCAGAAACTTCTATATAGCCCATTCTGCAAAGACTCTGCAACAGTAGGCTTCCGATTGCCTTATTAGATCTTGATCTACTTAACTGTCAGGAACATACTTTTTTGAAAGCCCCAAGAATACAGCAAGTTTCTCTAATGACTCAAAGCAGTCTGACATCATTCCTTTAGCCAAATCTATTCATCGGCTCCCTGCTTTGTACCTCCGTTCAGAAACACTAAAGTTTAAAGAGAAAAACATATACTAGACAGTAAAAAACGTACCTCTGCAGTTAAATTTGGCTGTGTCATAATGTCTTTCAGCACATCTAAAAAAGAAAAATAGATAAGAGTTCAAGACAAGACTCTGAGGCACTCCCAACATCTGTCACAACCAAGCACATACAGATCAACATATAGGAAAATCATGTATACCCATCACCTTTATGACTTAAAAATGCAGCTAGAGGTTACAGGTAGAAAAACTGCTTTTTACAGTTGTATAAAGCTGCTCACTAAAATATCAGTTATTTTACTGGAAAATAATTACTTACCCTGTGGTAACTGCAGTCCATCAGTATGATTCAATGGAGACATTCACACAAGTAATGCAGTACACTATTACTTTTTAACACTGTAGTATTAACAGCTCCAGCTGCTTGAGCAGCTATATGCTCCCACACAAACACATAAAGAGTAGATGGCTATGACCTTCATCCATTTGACCCTGAACTCAAAACACATGTTAATATGCCTCAACAAAAACATGGGTGCTAGGGGTGATGGGAATCACAAGGACATTTCAAGGACCCTCAGATAGCATAACCTAAGCAAACAGTCTTCCTCAAATGACAGGACCACCACCACAAGACACCACAGGCAATTGAAAGCACCACTGAATATTATAATGGAGATCGCTTGTATCAAGCGGAAATTGTGAAACTGCTTTCCAACTTGGCACTTACTCTTGAAATGAGGTGAACACAAAAAACCCCACAAACCCAGGCCAGTCAGCCAGTTTTCCCCTCACAGACTGTGGCAAATGGCACGTTTCTTAAGACTCTCAATTGCATCAATGTCTATCTCGCCACTCTACAAGAGACTAATTAGCTAGTAGCACAGCAAACCACACTGCATTAGTCTTGCAGGATGACTTGCCTAGGGACATCAGTAACCAGATACAAACAATCCAGTCAGTAAGGCTCTAACACAGCCAATATGGCATGCTGTAAGGGAGCAAGCTGGATCAGATGCTGAGGGTAAAGGGAAAGAAGGCAAGAAGTACATGTTTTACATAATTTTCCTCGGACTTGCTCTCTGCAGGCAAAATGAATCATCCCTACAAAATGCAAGTGAAAACGCAGCTCAGAAAGAAAGAGAACAATCCTGTCTCAAAACAACAGGACTCCACGTTGAAACACAATGATTTGAAGTCATTTCAGTAGACAAAACATCTAGATCTTCTGTTCTGATTATAACCTGTACTCTTTATAGGGTTCAAATACCTACACCAGTTTCAGGACTGGTATGAACTTATATTTCCTTAATAAGTATGACTGCAGCCTTTGGAGCTGTGTGGAGCTTACTTGATGCTTCCAGACATACAAACTTTTAGGCTTCTACTACTCCTACTGTTGCACACAACTGGAGCCTTACATGTGCTGCACTGAGCTTTGTCCACGAGACTCGTGCACCAGTGACAGAGGCAGGTCTGCTGGGGTTGCATGTGCACTCAGCGCTTCCTTTTCTCTGAGTTCCAGAGCCTTCTCAACTGTAGCCCCTGCTAGGGAAAAGCCTGGCAGTTTTTAGACTCTGATCACATTGCTGACACTTTCTCTGGGTCAGAAGTGATACACTGCAGGTTAAGCTGGCAGACGCGACTCAAAACAACCTTATTTATATTTGAGGATTTGAGAAGGTTAGATGCAGTATGTACATCCAAGATGGAGTCACCATGCCTGAAGCAGCCATCAACTATGCTGGACAAAGCCTGTTACAAGCTAGTCAGCATTTGAACTTTGGAAGTTGAGCCTGCTAGGAAGCAAAGCAGTTAACAAAAAGCATCTTATCCAAGAAAATTTCCTGCTTCCTTTTAAAGAAACACGCAGTTCAAAGGGCTAGTAAAAGATGAAAGTCTTTGAATATTAAAAAAAATGAAAAAAAAATAAAAATCCACATATGGGCAAAAAAAGCCTTCAAATTTTTAAGTTTGAGAGAGTATCAAGTAGAATACTGCAAAGCATAAAAAAGAGTTTTGTTGATACCAAGGACAGAAACTGAGCACAGAACACAGCCATGTCACACTGTGCCCTCTTATGGGGGCTGTACACAACAAATTCAGAACTCCAGTCAGAGCTGTACAGAATATACTCCCATTTCATTACATGACATACACAGAATCTTAGAATGTTAGACTGGTTAGAGTTGGAAGGGACCTTAAAGATCATCTAGTTCCATTCCACCCCCCCTGCCACAGGAAGGGACACCTTCCACTCAAGTGTATCTGCAGCAGAGATCTCACCAACACACACTTTGGAGGATGCTTTCATTGCTTAGCATTTCAAATACATTCTTTTTTATAAACACTATTAGACTTGTAATGAAGTCAGATCTCCAGACGAAACCTGGACACTTTTTTTTTATTTTGGGGGTGGGGAGTGGGTTAGCATGGTTCTTGTAATCTTCCTTATGACTAAAGTGAGTTTAAAGCAACCCAGATCCAGCGACACAGTGGTGTCAGCCAGACACCTTTGTGATCATAACTATGATCCCACTGGCGACAGGACTATAGGCTACAGAAAGAGATGACAGCCTATGCAAAGCTCAACCTCATGTACAGAGAGGTACGGAAAATATGCAGATAAAATCCACACGTTCATTACAGTTCCTTCCTTTAACTATCTGCCTGTAGGTCAGTTAAAAGAAATAATACTGGAGAAGGAGATTATTACAATAGGGAAGACAACAATTTGGCAGTATGTGGAGTTAAGAGATCGTAAAATAAAGAATACTGAAGAAATAGCAGTGTTAAGGGAACACATGAGAAAACCAACACAAGCAAGAAACAAAATGAAATTGCTCAAACAGTCAGTGGAAATTTAAAAGTCAAGATGCAAGAATGAGGCATAACTGTCAATATTTAAGCACCAGTTCAGAAAAATCTTTTTAAATACTTTTAAATAGAACTGCTCAATACACACATTATTATCAACTTCATACAACAGCTACCTTAAGGGAACTGAAACCCCATGACAGTGTTTGAAATAATTCTGAATATAATCACATAACTCCTCTGAACTCCTACCTCCTTCTTTTGAACACAGACAATAGGTTGATTATTTACGAAGGATCAGCTTAATCTAAAGAGATGCTGTTCTCCAAAATACCTGAAGGCTGCAATTTCTTCCCATATCATGACCAAACATTGCAACAATTCACCTAATGGCATTTGTGTACTTAATGTGTATAAATTTTGTCTGCATAGAAATAACCTGTCCTCTCTAGTCAGATACACAGTTTAAAAGCTATGCTTTCCAAGCTGTGCAGTAATCACTTGGATCTTCATTTGCAACTGATTCATGTTTTGGGGAAGAAGAAAACCTGCACACTTTAAAAGGATGTTTTATCCTGCAGAAATTTTCATTTGAGGGTGAATATAGTAATTTTAGGAAGTTCCACTTGTGATTGTTTTGAAGTTATCAACAAGGAAAATCGATGAGGACTTCTTTCACCACAAACAGAAAAGTTAAAATTTTTACATGAAGAACTTAAGACAAAAACCTGTGGCACACCTGGACAAGTTCTTTCCATAGGTGAAATACAGTCATGAGCAACATAAATGTCAAAAGCATTTGTCCCAATCACAGTTCTTCTCACTTAAAAACCTTAGAGTTGTTCCTGCGTGGGTGATTGGTTTTGCTTTTTTCTAAAGTAAAATGAGGTTGCAAGCATACAGCAAAGTGGAAACATTTCAAATCACCACCTCCCTGAGGAACTAGTAGCTAAGATGCACAGATGTCTTGCCAAATTCTTACTTTCTGACCAAGCCTAGAAGTTTACACAGAGCAACCTGTTGTTTTTATCTGTCACCTCTACAGCCAATTTGAAACAAGCGGCTCAGAATCAGCTCAACAAACCCTGATCTTGCAAGTGACACCAGAGCCACACTCTGCAGAAGCTGACAGCTGAACTCAGCCCCAAGAAGCAGAAGAAATTCAGTTGTACCTGTCCTGTTCTGCTTTGCTCCCCAAACCAAACAGAAACTGTCAGGAGACTTTCAGGGGGAAGGGGTTAATAAACCCGTATTCATTAGATTTTACATGACAGATCTTTAGTGCTGAGTTCCAGAAGATTTCAAAGACAGATATCCAGAAAGTTACCTCTTTAGAGAGCTGCACCTACACACAGGAGCAGCTACAAGCTATTTTAGGAAGCACTGTCCTTTCCACCCATAAATGCCACCAAGACAGCATTTATTAAAAGCCTAACATTCTGGAGAGCTTCTAAAATGGAGAAAATAGTTTTGTTACTGAACTGTATAAAAGGCGTCTAATGAGGGGGGTTTTAATGCATATCTTTACACATCTTTTTCTGTCCCATCCTACCCCAGGTTTTACAGACAACTTTGATAACCAATATACAATTTCTCAGCTTATAACTTTGTTCCAGGATCAGGAAACAGAGTTGTTTAATGCATAGCCCTTCAAATAATTTAGAGGCATATTTAAATACTTATTTTTAATGACTGACAGATTATGATGCAATGCATGGCCTGGATTTTCATACTACAGCATTTTTTCCATTAGTTGCAGATCTTTAGGAACATATTTTTAAAAAATTAAAGCCGTAACAGCTCAAAGAATCAATATATCTTCAATTTAGACTTCTAGGGAAAAATGAGGGGTAGAAAATCATGACCTACTTTTCAGTATCAGCTGACACCACCAAATCATTTATACAAATGAAATTAGACTAAGCTAACATGTAAGGATGATCAAGGCACACCATCAATAAAAAAAAAAAATCTCTTCTGTAACAAGAACAGCTTTCTGCATAACTAAATCTTGAGAGCAAAATATTACACTTCCAAAAGTGAGAAACCATCACATTACCAATTGCTGCAATAGCTTTCTCAAAGTAATAAACAGGGACAACCAAGAAGAATGAGAAAGCAAACAGAACCTGAATACCAATACAGTTTGATTTAAAGAAAGAAAGAAAAAAGAAACAGGGAAATATTCATTTGGCAATTTCTTCACTGTGGACATCAATACATTAACAGAAAGCGTGCTATGAATTACTTTTCACTTTTTAATCACATGGTATAAGCTCCAGATGGGCTAGATGCCAAGTCATTTAAAAGCGTTCAAGTAATATGAATACATACCAGCATTTCATTTAACCTCACTCGGCTCCACTAAATGAAGTAACAGTGCTCTCAATCAGGCTTAATTGTTTTAAGAAATGTGCAAAACATCTCTAGCTTTGCTTCAGTACAGCAACAAGCCGCTTTCACGCATTAGCTATTTTTAGAACTCATTATTTTGTAAAATACATCTATAAGAGCATACTTACAGATTGTATATCTTGTAATGGTTTTTATGCTTTGAATCCAAAAACCTTAGGTAGAAAAAAAAAAAGCACGTATTAATATACATTGCAATAATGTTGACCTCAATTTGCAGCATCATTAAAGCACCATCCAGCATGTGCAGTTCTGCATTCAAAGTCCCAGCTGGCCCTGCAGTGCCTCAGTCAAGGAAGCAGCATGTTGCAAACCTCACTCATGCAAATAATCCAGTAGTGTAAGACAATTTATGCAACTGAGGAGACTAAAATCTGACCTGCAACCGAAATGCTTATTATGTGGACCAATCTGCACTGATTTCTAAGATACCTGCACACCAATAAATACATTTAGCTGAGGGAGGGTTGTTTATTTTTATAGCAGAAAGCATCAATTACACAAGATATTTGTGAACACTTCCAATTTAATTTTCAAAGCAAAGTATTCTGCCACAGTGGTAACTCCAGTTGAAAACAAAAATAGAAAATACTGGAATATGAATTTTATTCCATTTAGAACAACCAGAATCCTTTATTTTAATTCCAGGCTTTTAAAATAGCCATTACTTGCCACTGATGTCAGAGGACAGTGCATGATGATATTCTGGGTTCAGAAAGAAGGAGGAAGACCACTATACTTTTTCACACTCATTTCATGTTCATGCTCACTTTGTAACAAAAGCTTCCCAATACAAGCCTGGAGAGCCAAACTGCAAACATGATTCATCAAAATTGCCATGATTATATATGATGTGTCACCTGGCAATGTTCAAGAAGAAATAACATACAAATGTTTACACTTAACATCATCAACAGTGTGTATCTGCACATCAGCCAGAAGGAATTTAATTAGCCATGACAGAACATGCTGTTCGAATTGAAAAGAAACACTAGCTGCTAAAATCCTGGAAAGCTCAAGCAAAAACAAGCTCTCGTTATCAGTCATCATATTCCAGAAGAACCTAGAACTCCTCTGTGGCTAAACCGATGTGTTAAAACAAGAACAGATGTGAATGCTCCTTGTGCAGCATCGAGTATGAGATTCCAATTTAATCTGCAAAAATATTTCCTGACTTCCACTGGCGTCCCTGTTGGCAGACTTCCAGGAGATTAAGGAAGATGGTGGACATGGCAATTTGTTTCAGGAGATGAACCCACTTGTTTAAAACACACTGGAGAGCAAGAGAGTTGACGCTACTTCTGCTAGTAATATCCACAAAACTGAGTGTAAGCTTTCATGCAAGTATTTTCCTAAGGACAAGATTCCATCCAAACTGTCTCACAGGAGACAGCCAGCAGTTCAAGTCATACTTCTCATACAGTATTAGCATTACATTTGTCAGGATATCAGTTATTCAGAAAAAGCCCACTGGCTTACTGTGGCTCAGTATCAATTGCTCCAGAGCTCAAACACATTGAATTTCTGCATAAAAAAGTTCTTGGAGAAAAATTACACAACAAAAAGATGACAGAAGCAGATGAGGACCTGCTGACTGCAACATGCAGAATGCATGTTCACATATTGTGCATTATTCTCATTTAAGAACAGGGGACAACAATTGTAACACTACTTTAGCATCCAGTTCCCTACAGACACTTAATTTAAATCTCTTAGTTTGGTTGATTGTACTTTTAGGTGACCACTATTCCTTTTCAGCAGTGTTTATGGACAACTTAATAATTATGTAGTCATTTCCTTTCAAAAGTCTAATTTACAGATATCTACATACTTAACAAATAAAACATTTTTCTCCATACAGAAGCAACTGAAATCAATGCTACGAATGGAAGAGGGCCTTCAAAGACTACTGCCTATTATTTAGATTATTCCCATGCCATCTATTCCAAGTCCAGCCTTTACCCCTATCCTACAATTTCCAAAGGTGAAGTCCATCAGGTATCATGTATTTCACATAGCAGATACAATGCCAGTATCAACTTAAAAAAAAGGTGGCTCTGACTACTGGTAAAGAAAGATGGCTAGATAGCTTGAGTCGGTGGGAAAGCCATTAACTATCCAGAAAGTACAGCAAAAGCTTTTTCTTGTGTGCAAGCTGTCTGCAATGACACAACTGGAAAACTTCACACCTCTTAGCAATCCTAGCAGAAACATACACACTCTGCAAGAGTATTTACAGATTTGCTATGCTGAACCTCACTGGTAAGACCAGCTCTGGAAAGTGACTTCTCAGTACTACATGACAGAACAAGGTCACTTCTGCAAGCCTGGTCAAATCCAGCCTCTGATATTTTCAGTACTATTCAAGGAGAGCGAGCTTCATCATGATGGTTAAATACACAAAAATGAACCCCCTCAAACTCACTGGAAGTTAACTGCAGCTGCACTGGGAAGTCGCTGCCTCAAGACAAATGATTTTCAGTTGAGGATTATGACTCCTCCCCGTGTGGGAACTGAGGAGCTACCTCAGCTCATTTCTGTACAAACCTGGATGCAAACAATTACCACTGAAATTCAAGTAGCACTAATTCTGCCTAGCAACAACTATGAGAAACTTTCTGTGGCATCTGAAACCTGGGAGCAGCACCTTCTTGTCCAGATACACCCAATTCTAACTTTACTGCATAACCATGCCCCTTACTGCATTATTCCCCCATCCCCAAACATCAACCCTCTGGGAGAGCTACTGAACTTGTGACCTCAAATGCCAAAGATCTTGAAAGTATCATGCACAACTTAACATCAGACCTCAGGATCCAAAAACTCTAACATTTGGCAGCTTAGGCAAATATTTAGTTTTTAATGTAACCCCTCACACTACATTCTCCAGGTAGCATGTTGACTAAACAAACTGTGATGCTCCTAAACCACTAAGTACACCTTCCACAGCTCTAACCAGCAGTTCGGAGTAGGTAGCTTCATTTGATGCTAAAAATAACCTGTAGGTTGTTTTGGGTTTTTTTTTAAAAAAAAAAACATGCTACAAAACATCACCAGCAATAACAAATTTTACCTGATTTTTCTCCTCTTCCACAATCATTGAACACATCCAGATGTAAAAGCCTTTAGATAAAGTCACCAACATCTACTACCTTAAATCAAAATTAACTTATCAAGCACTTCATTTATCAATTGAAGACAAGATATGGGCAAACATACTCTGAAATGCCACCAGCTATGTGAGGAACTCTTAACACTGTGAACAAAGGCATGGACTGACATCTTTCTAAAAGCAAAGAACCTCATTTTACTCCAACACAATTCACTGAAGTAAGTTTTTCACGCTAAAGCAGGTTACATGCATCTGAGATCAACCCATAGCAACAGTCTAGCCTAAAAGTCTTTAAAATATCGTTTTGTTTCTAACATTTTCAGGAAAGCTAGTATGGCACCATCTATGAGATGTAAAAATCTTGCCATTTCTACAACTCAAAACACACATCCTTTCCTTAGTAGAACATAAATGAGTACAGAAAAGGATATTTAACATATACAAGAGTAAGGAAAATAAAAATAAAATCTTACCTTACTACATCATCAATGTTGTTCCTGTATACTCCTTCAAGCCTCTCCGCAGGAAAACCCATAGCAATTATGTTTGGATAAATATCTGATATGCAAATTATGGAAACATTTGTAAAAGCATGTGAAATTTCTACAGCAGCAATAAATGGACATTAATAAAACATTTAATTGTATTAATTAAGTCAGAGCAACAACTCCAACTCCCATATACAAACAATTCATGTTTATATATGCTATGTAAAGCTATTAAAAAAAAAAAATGCTGAGAAAAAGGTTGGGGAGAGAGAGGAAATAAGGAGGGTAACAGTACTTTGACCACAGCTGCTATAACAGAAATCTCCTTACATCTCAAACAGATAACTTTTTAAAAGCATATGCTATTGTGCAGCTGATAGTTAATAGGAAGGCAATTCACTAGAAAAGCAGAGTCAAGTAATCCACTTCTACCATACATCATCTCATGAGAATCAAATAGATGCTGCATACTGGTCGTTCTCTATAGTTTGAGTGGGATATTAAATCCAATGGGAAACTATTAAAATAGTCTTGTGTGACTAAACTGCAAGATGTTCCAAATTAAAACCCACGTTCAAATCCCTGCTGATCCCAAAATAGGTATATTGCACAAAACAGCAAAACTAACAAAAAAGTTCATTTCAGGCATGCAAGCCCTGTTGAGGCTACACCAATGTTTTTATCACTTTCCATGATTTCTACTTAACAGACCAATATAGCAGTTGCTTAGGTAGCTGTGAATGCCTAAATGCAAGATACCACAATAGATGGCAATGTACAGATCTGAAAAGGAATCTGTATCTTGTTTAATTAATAAACAAACAAACAACTCCCCACTCCTGGAAAAATATTCTAACCTACCTGTGATTCACTTGCCAAAAGCAACCCTAGATAAAGAACTTAGCAAAACCAAATTAGCACTATGGAGAAATGCCAATTAAGAAAACTCTATGTTTACATCTAGAAACAATGTAGTAAAGAATTCACAATAAATCGCTAGAAAATTACTGGTATTTATTTTCTTGGTGGTGTAGTCATATATGGATTTAATTTAAAAAAAAAAAAAAACAAAAAAAACAAAAAAAAACCAAACCAGAACTCAAGGAAAGAAAGTACTCCCAAGTTTTAAACATTATTAGAAATTATAATGTAGTGAAGAAGCTTCACTGAAAAGCAAAACAGAAATGAAACCAGCAGCTCAAAAAACAGACCATACTCTATCACATTAACATACTCCTCCTCAAACTAATTTTAGAAGTAGCATGAACAAAGCATGGTATGTTTGAAGTTGGCCCCACTTTAAAAAAGGAGGCTGAAATGGTGACTTCCAGAGGTCCCTTTCAACCTAAATTATTCCACAATTCTAAGAATTATATTTATGGTTAAAACATAACAAAGTTCCAAGAGTAATCATAAGAATGGAAAATACTGCAGCAGTTTCCAAGATATCAATATTCCAGTTACTTGTACACAAAGAAAAGCCTGAACTAGCACAAGTACTAGTACAACACAAAGTACTTTACTCCATCCTTGCAGAATTCCCAAAAGCCTAAGTACTTACAGGGAAGCAGCATGGATCAAGTTTTGTATTTACACAGTTAACTAGACAACTTGAGGAAAACATTAAGAACTGAATACACTGAAATAATGTTTTCTACTATCAAAACAAGAACTAGCATTTACTATATTGTAATCCAAGTATTAATAGATATCAGTCTGCTTGGGCTACTCAAAATACAATTTATGCAGTGAGAAGAACTTGAAAATTTTTCAGAAATCCCAATAAATACCTACAGCTGCCTCAAACACTGACACTGAAAGGGGTTTTCGTCTGATTGCCATTTTTTTTTGTACTTGCCCAAACCCTAACAAAAGCTTATCCTGGGGGGAAAAAAAAAAAAAAAAAAAAAAGGAGAAAAAAAAAAAAAAGGTTGCTTGACTTTCAGAGTGTTGATAACTTCAGATACTATCAAATCACATTAATCTTACACTTTGAACCTACTCTGAACACATTATACTCTACAAGCAGTCCACACCTCTTTGTTAAATTAACAAAAGGCACTATATAATTAGCAACATATTTTATCAGTTACTACTTGCCATAAGCAGAAGAAACTGGTTATAAATCATGTGCACCTGCTCTATGCCTACTAACAGTGAATTACCCTTCAGCTAGCACACCCCATCACTCCCTCCTAATTCCCCAATTTTAACCCAATTTCCACCTACTGTCAGTTTCAGCATTTATACTCAAAAGCACCTCCTACTGTGTCCTGCTCCAAGCAGCAAGGCTAAATAAATTACCAGAGCAAAATAATCCAGCCTGCTTTCCACAGCACTTCTCCATAGAAGACAAGCATTCATGCTAGCAACAGGAGTAAAATAAATTCATTTTGACACACACATCAAAACAAATCTCAGTTTCAACTATAGTATCACCCATGAGACGGATGCCCAAACTTCACCAAATTACCATGCAACTTGCTCAAATTTCTATTCGCAATCCTGAGCTTTACTACACATTTTTTTCACGCGTTTCAGCCTGCGGTTTATGTTCAGATGCTTTTCTTCTGCTGTTGGCTTTTCCTCTCCAAGAGGCTAAGACACAGATACTTTCCAGGATTCCCAGCTGGTGCAAGATGGAAGCAAAGCAGACAGACACCCCAACCGAAGGGAACAGAACATTTTAGCAGCAGCACTTCCAGTCTGCAGGCTCACAGACTTGTCCAAACACTAAAGCCTCAAAACACGCAAGCAGAGAAGATTAAAAGTTCCAAAATAACCAGGGCGGTCTCACACTTCTGGAAAACGTGATCCCCTTTTGGCTCCCACACCTCACGTGACCCCTCCCTCCTCCCTTGCTCCTCAGGGGCAATGCATGAGCAGTACATGCACAGCCCACATGCATTTCTTCTTTTAACTAGGAAGCCAGCAAGAATTGAATGCTCTAAGCTTAACTGTGCATCATTACAGGTGCAATTTTAAAACCCAGAGCTGGTGTTGCAAAAGATGTTCTTTTCTTACTGGCATATTGTGAAACATGGAAAACTACTCTGGGGGGGAAGCATGAATCAATTTACTGATGCTGATTCAGTAAGCGGTGTACGTTCTAGGGCTTTGCAACCTGACAGCACAAGAACTGAACTGCTGCTGAAAAACAAGTATCCAAGGGGGCAAGGAGCTAGATTTAGTAAAACATGATTGCTTTTTAAACTAATTTCTCCTCCACCTACATATAAGCATCCTGAAGTACCTTTACTTATTATCTCAAAGTATTAGACTGGAATGTAATTCACAGGCCACTGCTGACTCACTCTTCTGTCTGCAACAGATCTGGCGTTAAAGGACACTGGCCGCAGGGAGCAAACGGTACCTTTCCACGGTAGGCATGTGAGGCTGCAGGCTTCACCTGCAGTGAACAAAAGCAAGCAACAACTATGACAAATGCATTTGCATTGCTGGGGAAGATCATTTTATGTCTTAATATATGCTCTGGCAAGCATGCTAAAGCAGCATGTTGCTTTGAAACTCTGTGTTGGTTCAAGCAAATGAAGAATGCCTTTTGCTTTAAGAAACAAGATAGAAGAACAGAGTGGAAGTGCTGTTGCTGTTTGCACAGATGATCTAAACCTCTGGGCAGAAATAGCAGTTTCGTCACTTAATTGAAAAAGCTGACAAAACCCAAGCTCTTCCACCCTTTCCTCTCCCGCAAAAAGATGTTCCAAGATCTGTAGCAAGTGAAGGGGATGGTTGTTACTGCATCAGTACTAGCTTGCTTTTTTTCTGATGCTGGGGAATGAAACAGCCCTCCCCAGGGACAGCCAGCGATCACTGCAGGGAAGAGTACAGAGCTGAACCAGTTATGGGAACAAGTGTCCACTGGGCATCATCTTCAGCAAGTTCTTTTACTTCCAGCCACGCTCAGTGGCTCAGAGACATTGCTTTTCATATCTCAGTTAAATTAACATTGATTTCCAAAGCTGAAATTAAGATATTCACTAACAAGACAAGATTTCTTACAAAGGAGTTTTGAAGCTGGGCTTAAATTCAAAGCAGGAATTCTGAGTCATCATTAAATTGGTAATGATACTAGTAATTTTAGAAACCTGGAAGAACTGATGATTTAAAACATGCAACAAATTCATTATCAATTCCAAGTTGGGGGGGGAGGGGTGTTTTTGTTGCTTTTTTTTTGTTTTGTTTTGGTTTTGTTTTTTTGTTTGTGGGTTTTGTTTTTTTTTTTAAGACAAGCAAAATAAAAACGGAAAAAGCCTCAGCCATTTATTGAGGCAGTTCTACAACACACGCAAAATGAAGTTAACCAAACTGTTACTAGCTACCAAAATTTGAAATGGACTTCCTAAAAGAATCACAAAATATGTCCTGGCACTTTTTGCCAAATTAGCTCTTTCCTAAGAAACCCATTCCTAGAAATGGTTTCAACCATTCTTAAAGCACTCATTCCTTTGTCAATCTTTTAAACATGGAGTCTGGACTGTAGCTACTGATCAGAATAAAAAAAGAAAACACATGAGACAGATAATGCTACACAACAGCAAAACATTAAAATGTCATCCTCTACTCAAGTTCATGCTGCTTATTAACTACAAAACTTCAGCTTTCAAATGAACATAGATGACACTTTGTTATACCCAAGTAACCTTAAAATGAAAGCAACCCAATAATTTGCCAAGTTACCAAATGCCAAAACAAAAAAGCAATGCTTTGTGAATGCTGAAGACATACTAAAGCAAATAATCCCTACACCACTTCAGAAATGCCTTTGCTCTAATACTGTTTGCAGATTTAACAAAACACTGTTCTTAAAACCTGAAGTAATTCCCACATGCTAAAGATGATAGTCTTTCCAGTTGCTATGAGAAAAATCCTGTGCCGTTATGCAAATCAGCAGTTATAATCACTTTCAAAAATAGCTGTCTATATATTCACATCATGCCAAGATCAAATTAAAGAATACGCAGTATACACTTTAAATTTTACATGCATATAGATATAAAAGCAAATTATTTGTGTTGTTCCTATAACTGATTGTGATCACAAATT